CTTTTATATTAATGATACAAAGTGGTAGTTGGATAAATGAATTAGTGTATTCATTTTGATAAGCATTGTTGGTTCCTTTAGGCACTCCAACAGGATCTGGAATGCCTGGCAGTGGGGTGGCAGGGGCTGGGGTGTGTGAGCTGGTGGGTCTAGGTAGTGGCCCCTCAGTCACCCCAGCTATGGCACCGGGTCCAGTTGTCTCTCCTGTGGTAAACTCCACCCCTGTATCTCACCCTGTATCTGCTTCTGTATCCCCTGCCCTTATCCCTGTGTCAGCCCCTGCTGTTTCTGCTGCACCTGTTGTGTCCATGCCCCTTGTGGGCATACCCAGCTCCACCTCAGGTACTGCACCTGGCATGGGGTCTGTTCCTGGGTCTGTATCAGGTATAGTGCCTGGGACCATGCCTGGAAACATGGTTGGGAACATACCTGGTATAGCACCAGGAATGGTACCAGGAACCATGACAAGTGGTGTACCTTGTGTAGGATCAGGTGTTATGCCTGTGTCGGGAATGGGGGTCAGTCCTGGAATCATGTCTAAACCAGCAGCAGGGGCAGCACCAGGATCTGTGGCAGCACCTATGCCCATGGATCTTCGTAAGTGTGGACTCTGAACACATTTCACTTGTGCATGTTTTGCTTAATTTCTCTTTGTACTTTATAAAGAGAGCATGATATGTATGTAGTACCACAGTATGTACTTATTGGCTAGTAACTTCTTTAGGTAGAGATAGATAGGAAGGTGGCATGACCTTAGAGAATAGAGTTCATGTCCAATCATTGTTCTTCCAAGGTTTTTACCAAAGCTTTAATGGCAGGGCAGTGGAGTGTTTACCTGAGTGTGTGTACTGCCAGAGATTTATTGTAATACATCTACCACAATTTTTATTACTCATTCCTAAGATCACAGCACATAGGTGAACTGTAAATACTTTAGTGCTGTCATACATGAGACTTATTTCGCAAAAAAGGCTTCAGTGGGTTATTCCTTCAAATTTGCAACTAATATCTTTAAATTTTAGTTGTCTACTTTCAGCCAATATACCAATGGAATTTGGGTCACACTCTGTCATCTATTAGTGCCTTGGTAGGCTCGTTATTTCCAATACATTATGCTTTTAAAAATTATAGAACATGAAAGAATTATGAGATAATCATTCATTTAAATGGTTACATAAAAATTACCTTAATCCCCCTGTGATTTTGCAAGTCTTTGAGTAAACACACACATTATAACTGCCAAAGATACTTCCTTTACATATACATACAATTAATTATCCATTTGTAATCAGAAGGAAACTTGGATGCTGATCCTCTGTTTCTCAAAATTCAGTGTAAGAGAAATAGCCACACTGAATAGATTGTGGAATGCAGTCTTGATGCTTTATTGAAAGTTGTAAACAATAGAAGGTTTGTTTTGAACTCCTATGAAGTTGATGTCTTGATTAGCCCTCTTAACTGTGACCATTATTTTGTGGCACAGGTGATCTTCTTGGTTCAGCACATGATACATAAATTGTATATTAGATTAACCCAGATTTGGCCTTTGTATCATTTACTTTAGATTTGCTGAAGTCCCCAGGACTTTGTACATTTATTACATATATTGCTTTTTTTTTCATTATTAAATCAATTTTGCAAGAGGAAATTCTTTCTACAAAGCAACTCTTTTTTCACCAGATGCCACTGTAGTGGAACATTAGAGAACATTTAATTTGCTTGACTTCAAAGGATTGTGTTGGATATTTGCATTACCTCATGAAGTAGATTGCACAAGTACTACAGCACTTTTGAAAAAAAGAAAATCTTTGAAAAGTAGACTTGTTAATGGAGTTCAAGATTATTCTTTAGCTGAGGGTTACAATTAATAGAATAGTCAGATTCATCTCTTATCCATTTCTACAGCAGTGTTTACTGAATTCATTTTGATTTGAGTGGAGCATGTAATGGTAATATTGAAAATGGGAAAGAAATTTACAAATATGACCCATTTTTAGCATAATTCAGACAGGTGTATGTAATTTCCACAACAGATCCTTTTCATGTCTGCTAAATGGGCTTTGGGTGTGGCCAGTTTGCTACACTGCCACTTGCATAATATATGTTGTATATATACATACAATATCTTTATATCTTTATATATTTAAGATTTTAAAAATTATAATCTTGCATTCATTTTAGCTTCTCCACCTCATCTCCGCCTACATCAGGCATTCTCCACATTTTAGCTTCTCCACCTCATCGCCTACATCAGGCATTCATATTAAACTCTTAGGTTGATGCAAGGGTGTTATCTTGTGGGCAGGCATTAGGGCTAAAGCCCAATTTTAAATTAGCTGTAAAATGAGACTATGCAATGTTAAGAAGTGCATATTTGATCGTAGATTGAACTTTTAAAAGTATAATTCTAACCCCCAGAAATGGGAAGTTGCTATGATAAGTATACAGGAATAATTGCATTAAGATTTTGTATCCCTGAGGGAATGAGGGCAGAAAGGGACTGAACAAAGTACGAGTAGTTCAAGGGCAGTGCTTCACAGCATAAATGATAATGCCTATATAAGGATTACTGTTTCCATGTTAGGCACTTATAAGATTATTTCAATTTTTTAAAGATTGTTTTGAGGAGATTAGGACCTTTATCAAAAAATTCATAATTTATGCTTTAAAAAGGTTGAATCAAACTTCATTTATCAGAAATGGTAAATATGCTAACGATTTTGCAGTATATCATGATAGTAAAATGTGAAAATGTAATCCATAATTTTTAGTGTTTAGTATACATAGTATATATTTGATTAGGGCCTAAATGGAGGATGACCTCTGTGCCACCCATATCTCTTAGAATAGTAGGTAGTTCATTGACCTGGATCTCATAGTGACATATTTGTTCTTCACAAAACAAACTACAATGCACTTGGTGAATTAAGTGTGTTAATTCCCTTCCTACAATAGTAGCAGGTACAGTAATATTAGTATACCAGTATTGTAGTGCACTGCTCTTATAATTCATACCTTAACAAGGATTATAGGTATTGAGTTATAACTGTAAGCAGAAGGATATATATTTGAAGTAGATAGAAAAAAGTGGATGTTCAGCAGAGATGATGGTCATTACTTTTTGCACAGATTGTAGATTGAACAGAAGAGGAGAAAATATGTTAGAGTAATTGGAGATTTCTCATTTTTAGCTTGTCCATTATAGCTCCAAGGATACATTTTTTGTATCCATTCTATGCTCTTGATGCATGCTTTCTATATGAAATTATTTGAATGTAAACAAACTATTGGAATGAAGATCTGTTATCATTTCTTCAGATTGACATAGATATGGATTTCTAACACCAACAAAGAGAAGAGTAACTAGATTCTAACCCATCTTTTTTGGAACCATGGTTTCCAGAGATTCAAGAATAATGTATTTAGTGTCTAAGATTTAAGACCCATGCTTTTTTTCTTTTTCTTTTTTAAGATTTATTGTATTAAGCCCAAGCCGTGTTTCCCAGGGTGATTTCCATTGTAATTGGTAAATCAACAAATCTCTTATTTATGCAGTTTTCTTTCATTGAAGTATCATTTGAAAGTACTTTTCAAAGCAAAATGAATGACCAGTGTAAATTTTGCATATTGTTATTTTTTGGAGTTTATCAAGATAAAAGATGGCATACTGTGCAAAAATGCAGTAAAATTGTGCAAATTATTTTGGCTAAAGAAAATCAAGAATGTAAATTTTTCTGCTTGTTTTGCTGAATAACTGGATATATTGATATTTAGTATCCATCCAAAAATAATCTAGCTTATGAAGATTTTGTTTAGAAAAAGGGAGTTTTTTAGTACAAATACTTATAGATTACCTTACAAATACACACGTATTTTAATATTTTTCAGATGGAGTCATAAATGCAATATAGATTTGATTATGATCCATTGCCAGTATAAATACTTCACTACTAGGGATTATGGGAGAAATAAGGGCCACAGCATTCAGTATATTCCCCACTTTCCAGCTCTCATCCCCTGCCTCATTCTCCCCCTTCCACCACTAACCCTTACACTCTGCAGGTCTTTGTTTTGACCAATAGGCTTATTCATAAATTTTGAGAATGAGCTGAATTACAAGGCTGGGTATCACCTATGTTTACATCATTGGGATCTGTAGTGGGCATTGGCCTGTGCTACAGTCTTCACAAATTCACATTGCTGCAACCTTCATATCCCTATACTGCTTTTCACAGCAGCAACAGCCCAGAAAATACTGACGACTCCCAACAGGGGTCATAAAAAAAAAAAAAAAAATATATATATGTATATATATATATAAAGTAAGGATAACTGAAGTAACTTGCAAAGAGATTTTTTTCCGTCTGGGGTTTTATAGTTGCCTTGTACTGCTGTTGCAAAGTGAATTTTTTTCAGTGTTTGAGTTGCATAACTATATATATATGTATATATATATATATATATATATATATATATATATATATATATATATATATATATATATATATATATATATATATATATATATATATATAATATGCAAAATGCAGTCATTTGCACTTCATACATAGCAAGCTTATGTATATATTAACTAAATGCAGTAATACCAGAATGCATTTCAAAGAAAAGAAAGTGATTTTTGCATTTATTTTCTTATGAAACTCCCCCTTTAAGAATTAATCATTCAAGTTTGCCAAAAGAAATCAGAATTAGAGACTGTATTTTTTGTGTGTAGAGCTTTAGAAGGTGGTCTATTATGGTGGTATATGGAAATGGTATGATTTTATATTCATAGTGATTGGTGCACAGCTATTATTTTGTTTACCTGACATGAAAAGGTACAGGGTTTTAACCAGGGTTCAGATTATTTTTTTTCCAGATTGTTGAGAGTATCGTACAAAAAGAAAATGTCAGAAAAGCCATGATTATTTTATGAATAGTGTAATTACATTTGCATTTGTAAGATCATTAGTATTAACATTTAAGATTGACATGGCAAA